ACGCACAGGAGACTGGCTAACGGAGCAGTGGTGTGGCCGTAGAATGGAGTACTAGTCAGGAATAAAGAGGAATGGACTATTAATTCACACCACAATATACAAAGACGAGTGTGCAAAATCTCACGTGGAGTGAAAGATGACATTCACAAAAGAGTGCGTACTCTGGGGTTATGGGAAGTCCCAGGAAAGACCAATCTAACTGGTAATGACAGGGGTGGATCCTTGGTAGAGAAGGTTTAACGAGGAAGCAGGATGGGGAGATGCCTGGTTGACGGACAAGCTCTGAGCTCTCCTGCGTCACGAGCGCGCACACCATCCAAACCAGCCCGAGTGTCCATGTGGACCTACGCCTTCCACTGCTTGTAAACTAAACTTCAATTTTGAAATGATGACATAAAAGTAGTCCCACTGCTTCTGTACAAGAGGGTGATTTAATTAAAGGCCTGGTTTCTTATTACATCTATGCGATAATTGAATCCCATGAGGCCTCAGGCCACATTTTAGACGGTGATATTTGCTCGTCTTCCTTGCTTTCTGTCTTAGGATCATTTAATTTTCATTTATTTATTTATTTATTTATTTTAATGTTTACTTATTTTTGAGAAACAGAGAGACAGAGCATGAGAGGGGAGGGGCAGAGAGAGAGGGAGACACAGAATCTGAAGCAGGTTCCAGGCTCTGAGCTGCCAGCACAGAATCTTACGTGGCCCTCAAACCCACAAACCATGAGATAATAACCTGAGCTGAAGTCAGATGCTTAAATGACTGAGCCACCCGGGGGTCCCTCCTATATACAACTTAAAAAAAATTTTTTTAATGTTTATTTTTGAGAGTGAGAGAGAGAGCGCGCAAGTGAGGGAGGAGCAGAGAGCAAGGGCGACACAGAATCAGAAGCAGGCTCCAGGCTGAGCTGTCAGCACAGAGCCCGATGCGAGACTCGAACCCACGAACCACGAAATCATGACCTGAGCCGAAGTTGGACGCTTAACCGATTGAGCCACCCAGGTGCCCTCATGCTTTCTTGTTAAAACTGGAAATTATGCACCTGAACGCTCAGAAGAAAAGGATGACGACAAGCAGGTCTTTGAAGTATCTTTCTGAGTCTCATTTTTTTTTAAATCATTGATCTATTATATGTAATACTGACTTCCCCATCTGTTACAATAGAAGCAAACTGTGCTTAAAAAAAATCTTTGATTATGACAGAGAGTAAAAGAATCATTTCCACCTTGAGCTCGTGTATTAAGTTTTAATGCTAATAGTTAATAGTTCTGACATTCCATTTTCACTGGCACTTATGTGAAGTTATATTTTCTCTGTCGGGGAGGCGTCACAATTATTTCGGTGACAATTATAGCCAGTGAAGTTTCTTCCAGAAATCATGTAACCTATAAAAGGTGGGAGATTGTCATGGATGCAGAGGAGGGCCTTCCTAGATGCCCCAGGGAGGGGTGGGTATGCAGATGTAGGCAACAGGGTTGGAGAAATAAGGATCTTTTTTTCCTTGCTCCCTGCTGGGGATCAATTTAATCTTTTCTGCCTGAGAACTCTGATCCACTTAGTCATGTAAAGAACCTGGGAGGTGCTGTCCCACACATTCGCTTCTCTCATGGCTCTTTTTGCCGCAAAGATTTTATTTTCTGATGGGTCAGATTTCTGTTTTGTACAGCAATCAATTTTGCTTGCACACGTTTTATGCAGCAAACACACACGCACACGAACACGTAATTATATTTAATGTGGTGCCTGGATCTGACCGTCTGGAATCTGTCTGTGCTTGACGAACCTGCACCCTGTGTTTAGGCCGTGGGTGACAGCTCTGTGCTCACGTCCACAGCCTTGAGCTGGGAAGCTTGCTCGGCCTTGCTGCATTGCCATTATTTAAAAATATTAACTGATCCAAGGGGTGCCTGGGTGGCTCAGTCGGTTGAGCGTTTGACTCTTGATTTCGGCTCAGATTGTGATCCCAGGGTCGTGGGATCAAGCCCGGTGTGGGGCTCTGCGCTGAGTGTGCAGCCTGCTTGAGAGTTTGTCCTACTGCCCCCTCCCCCTGCTTGCTCTTCTCTAAAATAATTTTTGTTTTAAATGAAAAAAATAGGGGCACCTGGGTGGCTCAGTCGGTTGAGCATCGACTTTGGCTCAGGTCATGATCTCGCGGTTCGTGGATTTGAGCCCTGCGTCGGGCTTGTGCTGACAGCCAGCTCAGAGCCTGGAGCCTGTTTCAGATTCTGTGTCTCCCTCTCTCTCTGACCCTCCCCTGCTCACGCTGTCTCTCTCTCTCTCTCTCTCAGAAATAAATTTTAAAAAATTTAATGAAAAAATAAATGAAAAAAATACATTAATTAATCCAAACTGTCTTCATGCCTAGAGCTGGGCTTGAAGTTAGACAACTGTTCAGAGTTAGATTCCCCCGCAAGCAGAGCCTGAGACAGGGATGAAGTGCAAGCCGTTGATGTGTGAGGGAATCCTGGAAGACGACAGCTGAGGACGGGAGCATCCACAGGTCTCCTAGCACCATGCGCGGCTGGAGCCCAAGCCCTCACCAGCACCGGCTCCTCCCGCCAATGATGCTGGACTTCCCAGCCTCCAGAAGTGTGAGCAAGAAATGCGTGCTGTTTAAGTCACTTTGTGGTGCTTTGTTACAGCAGGCTGTGCTGACAGGGATTGAGTGCAAGCCCCTTTCCTCAAAGCTGCACACACCATTTCTGTCCAAAACCCGACGGCTGGAGCATGGTCACATGGCCTCACTTTGCTGCAAGTGAGGCTGGAGAATGTCATTCTTTTTCTTGGATGGCCAGAGTCTCAGTGACAGACAGCAGGTCTTATTCTGACGGGCAAGGTTTCTCTACCCCCACATGATGGACATGTAAGTCAAGGTCATTCTCTGCAGTGGGAGGCTGTCCTGTGTGTCACTGGGTGGTTAGCATCCCTGGCCTCCGCGTGACATCCACTCCCCCACCGCCTGTCCCCACCCAGTGATGACAGATAAAATTGTCTGTGGATATTGCCCGATGTCCTCAGTGGGTGAAGTCTCCTCGACTTGAGAATGGCTGTGAACGGGATGGAAGGACTGGATATTAAGAGACACACGTCTGCACCACGCCTTGCCTGGGAGATGGGACTCTCTGCTGTACCTGGGCATCTGGGCAAAGCCTCCTCTCTCACGCAAGGTCAGGCTGCAGTGTGACTTCCACGTCCGTCAGCAGGCTGGGCTTTGCCGGGCCTGTTTTGTGGTGTTCCGGCACCCTGGCCGACCTTGTCTGCCCCGAGTCTGATGCACCCTCTTGGAGACCCTGTGAATGACTTATTATTCCTTAATAAATTCATTTTCTGTTTAGACGAGCAGGAGTTAAGTCCTGCTGTTTACAATTAAGAATCCAGGCGGATACAATCAGCCTCATTAAGATTCACCCACGATCCCCCTTTAAGACCTTGGTCTTTTGTTCCCCGGGTTAAGAAGCCAGGCAAACATTCTACGAATAACTCACAGAGGCAAATTCCCATGCAGAGACCCATGGGAACATTCTAGTTTCCACACGAGTTTATAGGTTAAATTCTGTCTCCATTATCTGGCTTTCTTTTCCTCCTCCTTCTAGAGCTAGTTGAGAAACTTTATAGGAACCGAAATTCCCTCTGGGTCTCCAAACATTTATTTATGCTACCTCATGCTTGTCCTTCCCAGCCCAACTCATATATAATTCTCTCCTCCTGTCGTTTTTTCGTTCCTTTCCACGGCAGTGATTCATTTTGCTGTCTGGCGTCTCTGCCATGCTCTTCGGGCCTGATCTCTTCCCCACTTAGTCTTCTCTACCTTTACTCTTGCCATAGCTTTCTCTTCCCTCCTCGTCACTGGCTTCAAGCCCTGCAATCTCTGATGTGTCTCATTGTCTGTGTGGCAGGAAAGCTCTTTCTGAAAAAGGACTGAATTCATTCTGGAGCAGGTAGGAAGGCGGGAGCGATAGCGCGGGAGGCAGGTTGGCTGGAGGCCCCTGTGGTTCCTGCGCAGCCGTGAGGCTGGCTGGGGGTCAGGTGGCGGCCACCACCGGGGCTGGGGAACGAGACCTAGACCGGGGCTGCTCCTGGAGGGGTGGGGCCACCCTCACAACATGGGTGTGCAGACGTCCCCTGGTTCCGTTCAGACACCCAAGGCGTTTGAGGTGGTGGCAAAGTTCAGGTGCAGGCAGCCCTGCGCATGGGTAGTGCTGGACCTCAATTCTGGGACCCAGACAACAAAATGACCCGTCAAGGCTCCAGGGAGCTGGTGCAAGTGCCATAACCGAGGCTGGAACTCAAAATTGAGGCTTGAGCCCAAAATGGAGCTGCAAGCAGCAACCTGGGCCTAACCTGGACTGTGAGGCCTCATTGCCCAGTGAGGCCTCGCTGAGTGCCGAGGTGGGCGGAGCCTGTGATGACTAAGCAGCGATTCAAAAACTTGAATGTGCATCAGAATCACCTGGGAGTCTATTTGAGTGATTTTTTTTATTTTTTATTTTTTTAACTTTTAAAAAAATTTTTTAATTTTTTTTTTATTTCTGAGAGAGAGACAGCATGAGCAGGGGAGGGTCAGAGAGAGAGGGAGACACAAAATCTGAAATAGGCTCCAGGCTCTGAGCTAGCCGTCAGCACAGAGCCCGACGTGGGACTCGAACCCACGAACCGTGAGATCATGACCTGAGCCGAAGTCGGATGCTCATCCGACTGAGCCACCCAGGCGTTCCTTAAGTAATTTTTAAAAATAGTTTATTCGGGTGCCTGGGGGGCTCAGTCGGTTGAGCGTCCGACTTCAGCTCAGGTCATGATCTCACGGTTCATGGGTTCGAGCCCCGCGTTGGGCTCTGTGCTGACCGCTCAGAGCCTGGAGCTGCTTCCAATTCTGTGTGTCCCTCTGTCTCTGTCCCTCCCCTGCTCATGATCTGTCTCTCTCTGTCTCTCAAAAATAAATAAATGTTAAAATGTATATGTATATATAAATAGTTTATTTATTTTGAGAGAGAGAGACAAAAAACACGAGTGGGGGAGGGGCAGAGAGAGAGGAGGAGAGAATCCGAAGCAGGCTCCACACCGTCAGCACATGGAGCCAAAGATAGGGCTCCATGTCACGAACTGTGAGATCATGACGTGCCGCTCCGCAATGTGCAGTGCAGAGGACAGTCCCCACCACAGAGGAGGAGCCAGGCCCTCATAATGACGAGGTTGGGAAATGCTGCCCAGGCTAGCGGGCCGGCCAGTCTCACCTCCCGCTTCCCACCTCCACTGTGCACGCCGGGGGGAGGTCACACGCCCTGTACAGGAGGCCAGGGCAATGCTGTTCGTGCTCCAGACATCCGGCCCCTCTCCCAAGGTTTGCAGCATCAGCTCACGTTGTCAGCAATGGGCACCTGCATGCACAGCTGGGGACTGTCGGCCCTGAGCGTGGGGGGAGGGCTTGGCAAGGGCATGAATGGGCGCTGTTGTGTGCAGCGGGGCCAGGCTGCCTTGGAGCCCCGCCAGCTTCAGAGCCCCTGTCCTTGCTTTCAGCAGCCCTCCTCCGCCTCCTGGCCTGAAGCAGCCTGCCTGTCCCCACATCCTTCGCCCGAATTCTTCACCGTGACTCATTTCTCCTGGGGAGGCAAAAGAAGGCCTTGACTCCGATCAATGTTTAAAACCAACAGAAATAACAAATCGTTGATTCCCAGCAAGGTGGGAGGAGGCGAGGTGGATAGAACATTTTCCCACCATTGTACTAAGGTGGATGTGCTGCTCACCACCTGGAAAGGTGTGGAAAGGTGTGAGGGGTGAGGCAGAGTTCAGTGGAAGACAGGAAAGCCTGGGGCAAGGTGAAATGCATGCACCAGGGAAAGAGGGCCGGCAGACGGGGTGGAGAGTCACCCTGCATGCCGAGAGGTAGGTTGAAAGCTCCCTGAGTCAGCCCTAGCAGCAGGCGATGTTATAAGCACCTTACATAGAATCCGCATGGCCCTATGTGACAGGTTCTACGCTGCCACCTGTATCAGTTAGCTATCGCCTCAGCCATACTGTGTAACAAACTTCCCCACAAATTTCTGTCTCTTAACATGCCCATCACTTCATCTCTCCTAGAGTGTCTACTGTCCGCAGTTCAGCAGAGACTCAGGGCATCTGGTCCAGGCACAGCCGAAGTTAGCTCCAAGTGGCAGGCTGGGCTCACGTGACTCCGGGCGTGTCTCTTTTTCTGTGAGCCAGGGGCCTGACTGGAGTGTGTTTTTCGCATAACGATGGAGGATACGCAAAAGGACAACAAAACTGGGCAAACTCATTTCAAATCTCTACGGGTGTCAAATCTTCTTGCCTTGGCAAAGTGAGGCATGTTGCTGAGCCTGAAATCAAGAGGTGGGAAGTTGCGCTCTGGCCACCATGAGTTCAAAGCAAGTCAGAGAGCTGAGCCTAACACTGACGGATGGGGACAAATACTCCTCCCATGAAGGCTGGGGGTGGTAGAGAGAAGGCGCTGTTGGGAGTGAATATTTGCCAGTAATCTAACCTACCACATTTTAAATATGTGGAGACTGAACCACAAAGACATGAAGCAATTTGCTTTAGGCCACAGAGCAAGGGATAGACTGGGATGTGAACCCAAATGGTGTGGCTTGAGAGCCGCTATTATGCCGCACCCCTCCACCAGCGTGCCATGTTGAGTGAACTGCCTTAGAAGTGGATCCTCCAGCTTCTGGTCTTCAGGTTCTTCTTCTTCTTCTTCTTTTTATTTTTTTTAAAAATTTATTTATTTTTGAGAAAGAGACAGACAGTGTGAGCAGGGGAGGGTCAGAGAAAGAAGGAGTCACAGACTCTGAAACAGGCTCCAGGCTCTGAGCTGGCTGTCAGCACAGAGCCAGACACGGGGCTCGAACCCACGAACTGCGAGATCATGACCTGAGCCGGAGTTGGACACTTAACCAACTGAGCCACCCGGACGTCGCGATTCAGGTTCTTCTTTTAAGTTTTCCAGAAGAAGCTCAAATACTGTGAACAAAGCACAAGCCAGCCCTTCTGGATTCTGTGTCCTGTTTGGATTCTGGACCTGAAGCAACTCTGACATGTAACGAATGGTTGTTTAAAGTCACGGTATTTTGGAAAGATTTACTACACAGCTAAGAGACAACACACAGCCTTTCCTAAGTACTGGAGACGCCACCCAACACTCAAGGGCCGAGCTGAACTTGGAACTCCAGTATTCTGACCTCTTACCCCGTGTGGTCTTACATCATGAGCCAGGATGAGGATGCAGGTCTGTGAAGCGCATGCTGGGAGCTGGGTAGTCAGTGCACGGTAGATCTGAAATCGGCAGGGAATCCTGGAAGGTTATCCAAGGCTTAGACCCTGAAGGTTTAAAATCCACGGTTATCGACTCACAGCAACACTTCCGTTGTGCCTCTGGGGAAAGTCATGACTTCCTACAACACTGCCCCTCAGCACGCCGCCCAAGCCACAAGGGGTGTGGCAAACGGCTCACTTCTGATGATTGCCTTCCCCTACCTGCACAGCTTCCCTCCTAGACTCAGAGATAGTTCTGGCTCCCTTCATCCATGTTGCCTTCAAATAAGATGTTCAGTTCCTTCTTCCATTTTAATCTGTCCTTCACTTCACAGAAGTAACTCTGTCGCTCGTTAGCTGCGGGCATATTCACAGTTTCCCCGTAAAAGACAGTTCTTGGACATCCAGATGGCTAACTGACACATGAAAAGATGCTCAATGTCACTCATCATCAGGGAAACACAAATCAAAACCACTCTGAGATACCGCCTCACACCCGTCAGAATGGCTAACATTAACAACTCAGGCAGCAACAGATATTGGCGAGGATGCAGAGAAAGAAGATCTCTTTTGCACTGCTGCTGGGAGTGCAAACTGGTGCAGTCACTCTGGAAAAACAGTATGGAGGTTCCCCCCAAAATTAAAGATAAAACTACCCTGCCACCCAGCAATTGCACGACTAGGTATTTATCCAAGGGATACAGGTGTGCTGTTTCTAAGGGGCTCATGCACCCCAATGTTTATAGCAGTGCAATCAGCAATAGCCAAAGTATGGAAAGAGCCCAAATGTCCATCGATGGATGAATGGATAAAGAAGATGTGGTGTACACACACACACACACACACATACACACACACACACACACACACGAGTGTTACTCGGCAATCAAAAAGAAAGAAATCTTTCCATTTGCAATTACATGGATGGAACTAGAGGGTATTATGCTAAGCTAAATTAGCCAGTCAGAAAAAGGCAAATATCATATGACTTCCCTCCAGTGAGGACTTTAAGATACAAAACAGATGAATATAAGGGAGGGAAGCAAACATAATATAGAAGCAGGGAGGGGGACAAAACCTGAGAGACTCTTAAATACAGAGAACAACTGAGGGTTGCTGGAGGGGGTGTGGGAGGGGGATGGGCTAGATGGTGAGGGGCATGAAGGAATCAGCTCCTGAAATCACTGTTGCTATGTATACTAACTAACTTGGATGTAAATTAAAAAAAAAAAAAAAAAAAAGGCAGTTCTCGGGGCACCTGGGGGGCTCAGTTGCTTGAGCCTCCGACTTTGGCTCAGGTCACGATCTCATGGTTTGTGAGTCTGAGCCCCACGTCGGACTCTGTGCTGACAGCTCGGAGCCTGGCACCTGCTTTGGGTTCTTTGCTTCCTTCTCTCTCTGCCCCTCCCCCGCTCATGCTCTGTCTCTCAAAAATAAATAAACGTTAAAAGAAATTAGAAAGAAAGACAGTTCTTGTCATTACAATCAATATCAGACAATGTGGAAATGAGGAGACACCGGCTCCGTCCACCAGACAACCCAGAGAAGGATTAGAAAAACCCACTGACTTCCTATGATTCGTCAGCAAGCCCACCGATGCCTGCCCACGACGCAAGCGGGGCCGGACCGCCGTGGCGAGCGCTCTGGCAGCGGGGGAGGCAGACTGCTCAAAAAATATCATCATTTCAAAAAGCCAACACGAGCAGCCTTGCTCTCTCACATTCACCTCTGTCCCTCGCCGTGACTGTGCTGATGTGTTGCACGGGGCGCAGCTCATTAGGAGCGCTTCTCCACCGGGACCTATGTTTCCCCCTTGAAGATGGACTTGCTAAGCATTCCAGCAATTTGGTTGATTCAAGAGATTGGGTTGGGGAAAGATCAGTGTTGGCCACACGGTTCGTTAGTGAGATCAGTCAGCGGCTTGATGACTTCCAGAAGAAGTCTTTTACACCAACAGATTGTCCTGTCTGTGATTTCTTGGGCCTCAAACACCCTGCGAGGGGCCAGGGGTCAGAATGTGCGGTGTGATTCACTGCCTCCCACAGTCAGCTGGGACACATGATCTCCACGTGTGTTCTTTTAACTGAGGAGGAAAGAACGTCCACGGCACACACGGTGCACACCTCCCCCCACCTCCACATATGGGTAGAACGTTCTGTTTTAGATATGCATCATCGTGATAAACGTTCAACATGTTTGGACTTAACATAAGGCACTGCAGGGAGTCCTAAATTAAATTCAGGAGGTCCCCAGGGGTTCACAGGTGAAAAACACCAACCTTAAAACCTTAAAACCTTCAGACTTGAAATATTTGAAAATAAACATATAACTTTATGGGTATTGTTTGGTGTGTTATTTTAACAATCATTAAAATTTTTTTTAATGTTTTATTTATTTTTGAGAGTCAGAGACAGCGTGAGCAGGGGAGGATCGGAGAGAGAGGGAGACACAGAATCCGAAGACAGGCTCCAGGCTCTGAGCTGGCTGTCAGCACAGAGCCCGATGCAGGCTCAAACCCACGAATGGTGAGATCATGACCTGAGCCGAAGTTGACGCGTAACGACCGAGCCACCCACGCGCCCCATATTTTAACAATCGTTTTAATCTGAAGCACAGGCCCTTGTTATGTAATCAAATCTTGAATTTACACTCACAGACACTTGCTGTGGATGAAGAATTTTACGTTCATTGATGGACCTCATTCTCACCACTACCAGATAGTAGAGATATTAGCATGTGTACTGGAGGGAGCTGGTGTAATTTGCCAAAGCCACAAGGCCAATAAAGGGCATAGCTGGAGCTTACCCTGAAAACAGCCCACCCCCAAACCCGTGTTCTTCCACACTGCTCGACAGTCTCTTTCGGAGGCATATCCTTGTGCAGATTTGTATTATGCCTCAAAACGTGTTGCAATAAATGTGTCTGAACTTGATCACGCCATGAGTCATTAGCAAATTACGGTTCCTGTTCTGCCTTATGGTGGTTTTATTTCCAGTATACTTATTCTTCAAAACCCAGTTCAAATAGCCCCTCCCCGAACCCCACCCAGAACTACGCTCTGGCCTTTATATTCTGCACCTTATATTTCTCCTTATTGTTGGGTTCTTTTGTATTTATCTGCTTATACAAACTCCTTGAAGGCAGAACTAAAATCTCTTTAACTGTGTGTGCTGGAAATTTTAAATTCATTGAAAAGATTCAACTTATGGAGGTAAATGAATGTGGAATAAAACACATAGCTCTTAGGTGTGTGCTGGGCGGGGCTTACAAACGTACTCACCTAGGTACCGAACATCTCGATCAAGGTGTGGAACATTTCCATCGGCCCATCTGCCCCTTTGCAACTGATGCCCTTCAAGCAACCGCAGATCAGAGCTCCCATCTGTATGCCGTAAACACACTTCAGACCCTTCTGTCTTCTTTAGTCTGCTTAATGCTACGGAATCCTTCTGGATGCTCAGGTTATAAAACCCAAAGCCTTTTTTTGTTGTATCCTTTAGTTCCTCATATATCATATATATATTGTCGTATCCATAGTTTTGCATCTAGCAAACTTTGCAGAGTATGTAGATTCTAAGCCAAGGACTGAGCCATGAGCCAAAGCCAGTCAATGCCCCGTTCCCATGGTTCTTTCTCTGTCTGCCTGTTTCCCCATCCACTGTCCAGTTCATGTCCTCCTCATCTTTACGCTGTTATTCGCCAGCTGTGGGTTCAGTGTTGGCACCCTGTCTTCTTCGAATCCATCACCCCCAGGGCTCCTGGCTGGTGTCATAAACTTCCCATATCTCCCCATTCCAGACAAAACACAGCATACAGAATCATGTCTCAACCCCTCACCTCACCTTCAGGAACTTCTGCAGTCTAGCTTCCACCTGCCTCTCCAGCTCGGCCCCCTCTGACCTGCTTCTACCTACACTCAAGCCACTGCAGGCAGCTTGCCTGCTTCAAAAGATGTTTTGTTTCCTTCGAACTCTGTCTTCACTTAGGCTGGGCTTTCTGCTGAGAAAGTTGTTCTTTCTGCCTCTGGGAGCCTTCCCCGTTTGCAGTGTGCCTTGTTCCGCAAGGTCCGTCGAGGGGTCCTTCCTCAATTCCTTGGCGTGCGACCTCTGTGTTTCTACCTGTTGCCTTCACACCCGGGGGACTTTGTTTCCCTGTGTGTCTTCCAGCAACATCATTAGTTTCACACCACAGAGGAGTTCATGTTAGGAGAATAAGAGAAGAGAATGTTTTTTCCAGAAGAGTTGCAGAGTTCGGATATTTTTTTTCCTGCATGTTTTTATACTGCGGACACACAGGTGATCTTGTTTCTCTCTTCGGTTGGCAGCTGGGGAGCTGGGAGGTAAACATAGCACCGCCCCCTTCCCGGAACCGTAGAGGCTGTAGGATCAATTCTGTGTGCTGTGGTTACCCCTGGGTTTACCTCCGGTTTCTTATTTCCCTGACACCCGTGTTTCTTGTCGATTTTTATCCCCTGGATGGGTTTTACTAGTTTCTGCTCAGAGTGAGCCCTCAGTTAATTTGTTCAGTGAAACAATTCATTTTTTTCATTCACATGTGGCAGAGAAGAAACAGCCGCAAAAGCTCTTCGAGAGTGAATGGATGTTTGATTCAACTTTGTACCGAGCCCACTCCCAAGAGCCCAGCACACAGCTCGGCCCTGAGTAGAAACTCAATAAATGTTAAATTTCACTGAACTAAAAAAAGACAGAGGGCCCCTGGTGAGCTCAAAACCATCAGTGATGGTTACAGTAAATTCCCGGACAATACAGTTGTTTCTATTACAGGATTCTTATAAAACTATGGGGACCTTGAACTAACATTGAGAAAGGAAGAGAATGGGGGTGCATGGGTGGTTCAGGTGGTTAAGTGTCTTGATTTCGGCTCAGGTCATGATCTCACAAGCCCAGCATCAGGCTCCGTGCTGAGCATGGAGGCCGCTTAAGATTCTCTCTCTCCCTCTTCCCCTGCTTCTCCACTGCTCACGCACCTGTGTGTGCACACGCTCTCACAAAGAAAAAGAAAGAAAGAAAAAGAAAGGAAGAGAATGGGGCACCCAGCTGACTCAGTCAGTAGAACATGCTCTTCTTGATCTTGGGGTTGTGGCTTTGACTCCCACCTTGGGCACAGAGCGTACTTAAAAAAACAAAGAGGATGATTGTGATCTTTAAGTACCCCATTTCCTGGAGACTGTTATGGAGCAAAGCAAATGTGGGATGAAGGAGTGTATGTCCCTCCTCATCACGGAAATACAAATCAAAACCACACTGAGATACCACCTCATACCAGTCAGAGTGGCTAAAGTGAGCAAATCAGAGAACTCTAGATGCTGGCGAGGATGTGGAGAAACCGGCACCCTCCTACACTGTTGGTGGGAATGCAAACTGGTGCAGCCCCTCTGGAAAACCGTGTGGAGGTTCCTCAGGACTAACAATAGACCTCCCCTAGGACCCAGCAATAGCACTGCTGGGAATTTACCCAAGGGATACAGGAGTGCTGATGCACAGGGGCACATGGACCCCAGTGTTCATAGCAGCACTCTCCACAATAGCCAAACCATGGAAAGAGCCTAAGTGTACATCAACAACGGACGAATGGATCAAGAAGATGTGGTTTATCTATACCGTGGAATACTCGATGGCAATGAGAAAGAATGAAATCTGGCCATGTGTAGCAACATGGATGGACTTTGAGGGTGTTATGCTGAGCAAAATAAGTCAGGCAGAGAAGGACAAATATCATATGTTTGCCGTATAGGAGGATTAGGAGGAACTTAACTGAGGACCATGGGGGAGAAAAAGGGGAGCAATGGTGGGGGAGAGGGAGAGAGGCAAACCATGAGAGACTCTTGAATGTTGAGAACAAACTGAGGACTGATGGGTGTGGGGGGGGGGAGGTGCATGGAGGAGGGCACTTGTGGGGATGAGCACTGGGTGTTATATGGAAAGCAACTTGTCAATAAACCGTTTGTAAGAAAAAAAAGGAGTGTATGGAAGTGTGCAAAGAAAGAGTGTATGTAAATGTGGAATGAGGAGTGTCTGGGGAATCTGTTGAAAGGCTGGTTGCTTCTGCCACAACAAAACGAAAAGACAAGATGAAATTGATGACTCTTTAAGTGCCTCTTTATATGCATGTATCAATCCTGTTGTATAGAAACTGAAGATTTACGCATTCATAAAGAAAGCAGGTAAGAAGGAAAGCCAGAAAATGTAAAGACTGATATAAACGTAAAATAAAATGGGGGCGGGGGCAGTGCCTGGGTGGCTCAATCGGTTGAACATCTGACTCTTGATTTTGGCTCAGGTTGTGATCCCAGGATCATGAGATGGAGCCCTGCACCAGTCTCTGTGCTGGGCATGGAACTTGCTTGGGATTCTCTCTCCCTCTCTCTCTCTCTCTCTCTCTCTCACTTCCTTTCTGCCACATGCTCTCTCTTTAAAAAAAAACTAAACATGAAAAATAAATTTATTTATTACAAAAATTTTTAATGTTTATTTTTCAGAGAGAGAGAAAGACAGAGCACGAGCCAGGGGTTGGGGTGGGCAGAGAGAGAGGGAGACACAGAATCTGAAACAGGCTCCAGGCTCTGAGCTGTTGGCACAGAGCCCAACGCGGGGCTCGAACTCATGAACCACGAGATCATGATCTGAGCCGAAGTGGGATGCTTGACCGACTGAACCACCCAGGTGCCCCCAGAATAAATACAAAGTAAGAGGGAATCATTTTTCTTGATTGCGGTGCTGGCTTTTATTTCCCGTCTCCCACTGGAAAGAGATCTTGGCCATCATCTGCCCGTGAGCCGCTCTAACTCTGGGTCTCTGCGTGGGCCTTCCTGAGTCTGTCAGATGCAAACACCCGCAACCCTCTCTTCTGAGTCAGCAGGACGTGATTTCACCACTGCAGGCAGAGAAGTTCCTCGGGTGTCCATGCATCAGGAGCACGTCACCCTCCTGAGAGGACAGAGGCTTGCCGTCGGTTCAAGATCATGGGCGGGAAGCTGGAGGCGAGGGCCTTCCTGAGAATGAGTCCCAGCTTGTGCTTCTCTGACCCATGTGTCCCATGGATCTCTGAAGCCACTTAGAGACACGGCGTGTCTCAATGGCCAGCCCGTCTCTGCCGTTGTCCGTCCTGCTTTCCAGTTAACCCCACTGATGACGTCCCTTCTTCCCGTAGAATCTCCAAGAAGGACTCACGGAGTCCGTTTGGGTGTCCAGTGTTGGGACCGAAGCCCATCTACCCTACGTGTTGGAGAGAGTTCAGCCTTGGATGCATCCCGCAGACATACACCAGGTCAGGGAAATGCATGGAGCGCCAGGAAGGCTGGAAAAGCAATGGATGAAGGGTACCAAGAATCCTTGCACCGCGGGGCAGCTCTCTGAGGGACTCTGAATGGGCCTGCAGTTTTCTGTCTTCACTTACGGCTGCTCTGTGGGCAGGTAAACAACTTAGCTCTGTCATCGTGTGGTTTTTATGGCAGTATTTTTTTTTAACCTGAGAAATCGCGGTGGGGTTTTTTTTTTTTTCTTTCCTTTTTTTTTTTCTTCTGCAGAAAACCATGAAATATTCCAAACATAGAAACCTGCTTATAGGAGCTTGGCTTCCACCACTTTCTGTGGTGTCTTTGAGCTTCAACCCTTGCCCACCACAGCTTGCAAATCAGGATTTCTCCAGGTCGCCTCTGTGGACATTGGGGCTGGATATCCTTTCTGGGGGGGCTGTCCTGTGTCGAGGGGGCTTCAGCAACATGTCTGGTCTCTGTGAGCACACTTCTTCCCCTAGGCGTGACAACCAAAAATACCTCCGGACATTGTGGAATGTTCCATGGGGAGCAAAGTGCCCCAGTTGAGAATCGATGCTGGAGAGGACAGGGGCCCGGAGAATCTGGGCCAGAATTGCCCTCTCGGTGGTTGTTTCAGCCACTAAGCTTCACACCGAGGCCTGACTGCACCCCCCTCCCACTCACGATGCCCATTTCTTCAGCCTCTGCTGGGCCACCCGGGAGGCTGTGAGGCACTGAGCAGCGAGCTTCAAGAGGGAGATGCGCACTTTTATTATTATTATTATTATTATTATTATTATAGAGAGACAGGGCACAAGTGAGCAAAGGTGGAGACAGAGAGAGAGAAGCGGGCTCATTGAAGTGGGACTCGGACTCATGAACCATGAGGTCATGGCCTGAGCTGAAGTCAGATGCTTAACTGACTGAGCCACCCAGGCACCAGGTATTTTTAAAAAATGTTCATTTATTTTTGAAAAAGAGAGAGAGAGACAGAGCAAGAGCAGGGATGGGACAGAGAGAGAGAGGGAGACACAGAATCGGAAGCAGGCTCCAGGCTCTGAGCTGTCAGCACAGAGCCCAACGCAGGGCTTGAACCTGTGAACTGGGAGATCATGATCTGAGCTGAAGTCAGAAGTTCAACCTTGTTGGAGCCACCCTGGCACCTCTGGGCATGTTTTCTTACATGTGGCTTGCATTTATGGATCATCAGGGGAGTTTTCCAGACCTGAGGCCTGGAGGCAAGAGCTAGGAAGAGCCGGGAGAGAAGGAGAATAGGGAAGGAGGGCCAGATTTCACCTTCCCTTAGGCCGGGCTCTTAGAGCCAAATTACTGTCTTTTATTTTTTTTAATGTGTACGTGTTTGTGAGAGAGAGAGAGAGAGAGAAAGAGAGAGACAGAGCATGAGTAGGGGAGGGGCAGAGAGAGAGGGAGGCACAGGATCCAAAGCAGGCTCCAGGCTCTGAGCTGTCAGCACAGAGCCTGACGCGGGGCTCGAACCACAGACCACGAGATCATGACCTGAGCCGAAGTCACCGCAGACCACGAGATCATGACCTGAGCCGAAGTCGGACGCTTAACCGACTGAGCCACCCAGATGCCCC